GAAGGGGGTGGCAGAGAGGAGACCCCCAAAGGGACGAGATTTTGGGGAGGGGGATGGCAGTGAGGAGACCCCAGAAAAATTCCAGATTTTGGGGAGGGTGTGGCAGAGAGGAAACCCCTGAAAATTCCAGATTTTGGGAAGGGGGTGGCAGTGAGGAGACCCCCGAAGGTTCCAGATTTTGGGGAGGGGTTCAGAGGCGGGGTCTGCTGGGAGCTGGGGGTTGGTGCCCACCCACGGGGGGGGTCCCAGCTTTGCTGTCCCCCCCCAGGACCCCCAGCCCCCCCGGCCCGGTGTCCCCAGACCCCCCCCCGGCGCCGCCATCGCTCTCCGAGCCGCTGCTGGGCTCCGACGAGGGGGAGCAGGAGGACCCCCGCGATTACTGCAAAGGTGGGGACACCCCGCTCCTTTTGGGGGTGTTCTGGGGGGGGGTCCCCAAACCCCAGGGTGACATTTCGCCCCCCCCGCGCCCCCTCCCCAGGCGGGTATTACCCGGTTCGGATCGGGGACCTTTTCCACGGGCGCTACCACGTCGTTCGCAAGCTGGGCTGGGGACATTTCTCCACCGTGTGGCTCTGCTGGGACCTCCGGTGAGTGCGGGGACACCGCGGGGAGCTCCCGGGGGGTTCATGGGGGGCTCCCCTGAAATTTTGGGGGGGGGGGGTCCCCTGCTTTTTTTCTTGGCCTCCCCGGGCAGGAGGAAACGTTTCGTGGCGCTGAAGGTGGTGAAAAGCGCCCCCCAATATACGGAGACGGCCCTGGATGAGATCAAGCTGCTGAAATGTGTGAGTGCCCCCGGCCCCCCCAAAATCGGGGACCCCCAAATCCACCCCCGTGACCCCCCCCGTGCCCCCCCAGGTGCGGGATTCAGACCCCAGCGACCCCAACCGGGAGAACATCGTGCAGCTCATCGACGACTTCAAAATTTCAGGGGTCAACGGTGTCCGTATCCTTTTTGGGGGGGATCTGAGGGGGGGTACCCCGAGTTTCTCACCCCTGGAGGGGGGTCCCAGGGGTCTGGGGGCTCCTTGACTGCCCCCCCAGATGTTTGCATGGTGCTGGAGGTGCTGGGCCACCAACTGCTGCGCTGGATCATCAAATCCAACTACCAGGGGCTGCCCCTGCCCTGCGTCAAGAGCATCGTCCGGCAGGTCAGGGGGGTCCCCAAATCCCTCCTGGGACCCCAAATGTGCTGCACAGAGACCCCCAAATCCCTCCTGGGACCCCAAATG